CAAGCGTGGTGATCAAGAATTCAGCCTCTTTTAACCTCATTCACACAGCGAAACACAACGCTGTGGTTGTTTCACGCCGGGTTTTTGTGAGGTAGCATGGTATCACTGGGATCGAGCTGGCCCATGATGTCATTTTTAACCGAATGTCAGCTTTGTATAATAATAATACAATTTTTTTTATGGTATAAGTCGGCAAACGAGCAGACGGATTACCTGATGGTAGGCAATCGGCGCCGCCCATAGACACCCGCAACACGAAAGGAGTTACGAATGCGTTGCCGGCCTTTTAGGGATAGGGGTTGCGGATATAAGGATTAGGAAGGAATAGGGGAAGGAGAGGGATTGGGCCTCCGGTAACCGAGTGCATTGCCGATTGCCGATTTGGTGATTTCGGGATTTTGGGGTGGCGAAGGATTGGGCCTCCGGTAACCGCACTCACACGGCGAAACACAACGCTGTGGTTGTTTCACGCCGGTATTCTGTAAGGCCATGGTACCACTCCGGTCGAGCCGACCCATGCGTGCCAAAGCTTGGCTCTCCCACACTTCAAATGCATGCATGAGAAGCACGAGCCTTGGCCTTCCGTCCACCACAGCAATTTCATTAATAAATTTTAATTACTTCACTTCCGAAGCTGCCTGTACCTGTTATATTTTATTTTATCTTTAAATGTCAGTATGAAAACCTGCTCTTTATTTTAATGTCAAGTACGTATTTAGCGATGCCACTCCTGAGAGTCAGCCGCGTGAAGATTGCTCTTTTTTTAGCAATTTACTGTCATTTTATATCTTAAATATGAATAAAATTGGTATATGTGTGACGTTTTATGTTGCTTGACATAATATGCTAAAATAATAAGAGGTTTTTCCACCCCTGCACATATAAGTGGGTCACTATGTTATGTAATAGGGTTTTGCGCCAAATATTTCATACAAATTACATTTTATATTGAAATTTATCTGGCACTTAGTGGCTACTCAGATATTGTTTCATTATCAGCTTTAAGTAATGTATTTTTTGTAATAAGTCCTAATGCGATGAACTGACAAACAAAAAAGATTTGCGAAATTAGTATAGGACAACTTTTACCTTCGATGAAATATGAGAGAAAATATTTTTTTGTGTGTAGGTGTGTAATACGGTAATAATAATTTAGCATTTACCTGATTTAGCTGATTGGAGCTCAGTTTCAAATGTTCAAGAAACTTGAAGTTTGTATTTCTTCTTATTTATTCGAGTTCGTGGTAACCTGAATGCGAACTGCCAATTGCCAACCTGCAACTCCTTGGTCAGGCCTTCAACTAAAGAGCCATAGTTAATTACAAAAACATCGCTCATTTCAAAAATAATTCTTACATTTTCCTTGCAGTTGCGGCTTGGAGCAGGGGCAGGAATGTATTGGTTTTTTATTTTTAGGGAAGTCAACATCTATTAATGAATTCTGCATTTTATAATTTCATTGTAATTCCAAATTAATAGTTCGACGATAGATATCGTACTGATTTATTGAGCAATAAATGATGTTATTTAATAAATAATCATGCACACAATATGACCTACAAATAAATTTAATTATTCATCTTATCAAAATGTCACGCGATCTTTGTGTTGTATTCGAGTTCTTTTTCCTATTTTTAAGGAAACTTGTCTGAACTTGTTCTATTAAGTTATGGTCGATACACCGTTATAAATATAGTCGTTTTTATGGAGGAAGTCTAAGTTATGCCTATTTCTATTCTATTATCTACAATTAATAGAATTTCGTATAATGACTATCATGTGACATACTATTAATTAATTTATTTAAAATGACGTCTCATTTCTCATGAGAGCTAAGAAGAGTTTTCTTTACGTGCGAAAATCTATATCTATACTAATATTATAAAGAGGTAAAATGTGTAAGTTTGTATAAAGGGGATAATCTTCTGAACCGACGGATTGCCAAAATTCTTTCACTGATAGATAGTTACAATGTTCCTGATTGCAATAGGCTATAAAAAATCACGCTACGATCAAATGGAGCGGAGCAGCGGGTGAAGCCGCTTGAGAGTAGATAGTCGTTAAATATTTTTGTAATGCTGGTTGCGCAAGAGGGAGTATCTGACTCTTACTAAGATGACTGACTCTTCTCCTACTTCAGGCCGGAGGACATTTATTATTTCGGTTGATCCGTGACCTCGGCTCCTCGGCGGTTTCAAATCACAACGGGACTCCTATTCATGGGCAACCACCGACTCAATAAGTCAAATCATAAAATATAGTAATAGTTGTAACTATTTGTGGTCAAAATAATTTCAGCTGAATGACCATTAAATGTATTTGCCTAAAGAATGCTAAATGGGTCTTAGAATGAAATTTTTGTATATTTGATACACCACTATAACTCTCTGCTCGACTGAAAGCCTCCTCTATCTCAGGCAAATTGAAAATCACACTCAAAAGCTTCAAAAACATCAGAACATGCCGTCCATGATGATGATGATAGTCCCTAGTTAGACGCCGACGTCAAGGTGTAGACAAATGTAGGAGAGCCATGCATCGGCATTAATAGGTTGGCTTGACCGGAGTGATACGACCTTACAGAAAACCGGTGTGAAACAATCACAGCGTTGTGTTTCGCCTTGTGAATAATATCTAATTGTCCAAAAGGCTGGCAACGCAGTCGTAACTCTTCTGGTGTTGCGGGTGTAATAAGTAGGTAAAAAAAGAAGAAAGGTAGTGAAAAATGAATTCTATTTACAACTACCTTCCGCCCGCGGCTTCACGTGCATTGTATGTTCATAAAAAGTACCCTTTGTCCTATTCCGGAGTATATCCTATACCTGTGCCAAATTTCATCCAGATCCGTCCAACCGTTTTGGCGTGATTGAGTAACAAACATACAAACATCCAAACATAGTAACTTTCGCATTTATAACATAAGATTAATCACACACATACTTAGTTTTAATCAAAGGCAATCAGTACTAGTAATGAGCATGCTGGCCAGGTGTAATCGATAATAGCAGCGGATGTAACAAGATTCCATTGCCGATAAGTTATGCAGTCGGCTCTTTGACTATATCATTATCAAGATTATGTGCGTACAATGTGCTTAGTCCAACATGTGATATATATGTATTATGTATGTTCTAAGTTATTTATTAAACTGTGAGATATATATAACTTACTGCTTTAACTTTGTTACTTACTTCTCAATTGGTTTAATTGTCGAATCACCATCAACCTCAGCAGCAGCATCATCTAAGGGTTCTTCTCACACGAGGAAGGTTTAAGCAATAATCACCACGCTTGCTCAATACGGATTGGCGATTTGAAACTTATAGTTAGATATCCAGGTTCACCGTTTGTCAGTGGTCTCTAAACAATCATAGAAAATACATATAACTCGGGAAAAAGTCACATTGCCAGTTTTCGAACCTGTATCCTCATGCATGAGAAGGGCGTTAACCTCCGGCCCTCCACGACACTAACTGTCATATAACTATATCATATACTATCAAAATATCATTTTATTTTATATATGTATGGCACGTTAAATGTGAAAAAAAAATTACTTTGTATTGTTTTAAAAATACATTTTCGAATCGTAAAAAAACCGGTGTGTATAAATCAAATTGCCTGGAGGTCGTCTCTCGATCCCCAACGTCCGGAGAGTCTCCTGCGTTAAAATACTTAGTTACTACACTATAATATACAGTGTAATAAGCACACACTATTATAAGCATAATAAAATAACCTTGCTATTGATACTTGATTACTATAGATACATAAGCTGCGTTAATACCAATGTGCTATTAACCTACATACTAAAACGCTTAGTCCAAGTACTAAAGACATCTTTTACGCAATTACTACATCATTCATTACATTTATTTGAATAAAGTTTATTCATATTCAAACGCCAAACATCTAATGGTTTTATGAGGCAGCGACTAAGATAATTTCTTCACCGAAAATATTCCTAGCTTTTATTTTTGCGTGGCTTCGTTTATCTAGAGGGTACAAGAAGGTCTCCGGATGCGATTCGATAATTAGGAATATTATATACTAGCTACTCTCACGCAGTTTCACCCGCTGGTCTTATTTTATAACCTTCCTCGATAAATGGACTAACGAACACAAAAAGAATTGTTCAATTCGAACCAGTAGTTTCGGAGATTAGCGCGTTCAAACAAACAAACTCTTCAGCTTTATAATATTAGTATAGGTATATAGTACCTATAGATAATATAATGTACACAGACAAGTTTTTTTTTGTTTTTTCGAAAAGCTATAACAAAGAGAGTGGAATTGTTTTCAATCCCTATTACTTATTGTAATCTAGACAAAATTAGTGTCTGGAGTCTCTATCACATTTGTAGTCCATAATTAGAGTTTTACGATCCTTGCGGAATGGATCACGTCATTGCACGGTCAAGTTATAGTAAGAGAAGTTTAATCAATTTTAGGTGTAGGAGAGCCATGCTTCACCACTAATGGGCCTGCTCGACCGGAGTGATACCACGGCCTCACAGACAACCGGCGTGAAGCAACACTTAGTGGTACACTTGTGTTTCGCCGTGTGAGTGCGGTTACCGGAGGACCAATTCTTCCCCTTCCCCCATCCCCAATCATCAAATCCCTAGGAGTTTGTGCGGCAAAATTTACTTAATAATTAAACTTTATGCTAAATAAAATCGTTTTTAATTCATTGTAACACAAATAGACACGGTAGAAAGAATATTATTATAGAAATATGTAATTGTGAACTTCTAGCAACTGATATTTTTCACAAACGTATGATGACATTCTAAATTTATATCGTAATAATTAATATTTACTTAACTTAACCCAAATCCAAAACACTAGACCAAAGAACGACCCAACCACTACCCAATAAACATTGAGAATAAATCTCAAACACGGATGTGGTCAATCATAGAAAAATTCACCGAATCGCGTTCACCTTGTAATCTAACAAATCATATTGAAAACTAAAGCTTCTTTGTTGCAAAATAATGCAAATGCCGCTGCTGAGATCCATAAACGAAGGAAGAGGATCGGGTATAAAACCGCCGCTCGTTTATTCTATAATCACAGTTATACATCGTCTGTTAACTTTGACACACAAGATGGTGAGTGAAGATAAGTTGCATCATCGACTGGTATTTGAGAGCGGCACCTATGTGACCGCCTCACGTGCTAAGCCAAGTCCACCTTACAACAATCATCTAACAATCTTAGTGCTCGTGAATAAAGTGAAATGGGAATTGAAGTGTCTAACGGGAATGTTGTTTTCCAGAAATCCTTTGTAGCTCTTCTTGCCGTCGTGGCCGTAGTTGCCGCTGATGTCTCCCACTTGGCGCGCAACCCTGAAGCTGATGCCCAGATCGTAAGGCAGGATGCTGATGTCTTACCTGACCAGTACAAGTACGCTTATGAAACCAGCAACGGTATTGCGGCCGAAGAAGTCGGAGTCCTTAAGAACGTCGGCACTGTAAGTAGACTTATACTTATGATAAAAACACATATAGAGTGTGATACACACTTGCATTATAACCCAACAAGCAAAACATGCTACAAAATGATAATAAAGATTATAAAATAACCTTGTTTTGAAAAATCATTCTTAAAAATATTTTTCACGGATCCAATTATGAATTTGATGTCAAAAACGGTAGACTAGACAAAAAAGGCTTTAAAACTATATTGATCATTCTAAGCAAATAAAGGCCATAGACTGCCATTTAGGTCATCCGATCATCTTGCGTACAAATTATGTTAATATACGAGTATTTATTTTATTAAACCTTGGTATTTCTTTTAAGGTCAATAATGTACGCAATAGTTGAAATATTTATTTTTTTATCATAAATCATTAGTCTTCGCACCCATTTGAATAAATATAGTTTTAAACCGCACAAGTGCATATAAAAAAACACTTAGTAAACAAATTAATGTTTGTACATATTTTTACCTGTATCGTATATCTGTTTGCTGATGGAGTTTCTTTTATATTTAGGAGGGTGAAGCCCTTTCCGTCCAGGGTAGTAACTCCTACACCGCCCCCAACGGTCAGGTCATCCGTTTGGTCTACACTTCTGATGAATTCGGATACCAGCCCCAGGTAAATATCATGCACAGTTAAATTTAATTACATCACAAAATAAATACATAAGTACATAACAATAAATAATAATAGATACAATAATTACAATAGATTAATGATTCTATTGGCTGTTTAATCATTCACTACTTCAATAATGGTAATATTCCTTTGTTTGGTTATTGTACTTCTAATTAAGTAGCTTAATTGTTTTTTAATTTTTTGCTAATTTTGTTTTGTGTGTTGCTGCAGGGTGAACATCTCCCCACTCCTCCCGCCCCCCAGCCCATCCCTGAGTACATCGAAAGGGCTCTTGAGTACATCAGGACCCACCCCCCCAAGGTAGAGCCCAGTGGTAGGCTTTAAGTTAACCTTTAGAAAATAATACGTAAAAAATACAATTCTAAACACTGCCAATCTTTCACCTCTAGTCGCAATATGTTTGTAAATTTCAAAAAATAAAAGGATTTCTTGTTAAACAGCCATTTTTGTTTTATTCCTCATTCCATTCCATTTGTGTATCTGAAAAATTGTGTTAATTATTCCAAACAACCTATAAATTAAAAACAAAACTTTTAATCTATTTTTTTTATATTTTTATTAAAACTACCTATACCTATGCACCGTCATCTTCTGCATTCGAATACGAAAGTTACAATTAAAATTTGTAAGTTTGTATGTAGAAGGTCCTTCAATCATAGATAGCTGCAATGTTCCTGAGTGCTATAAACTATAAATATTTTATCGAACTATCGTTTTAAACGTTGCTGTTTTTAAAAATTACATTACTTTTTTAAGCGTGTAAAATCGCGGGCAGAAACTAGTTGATAATATTTTCAACTTGGACATCAGACAAAACAGTATTACAACAATGTAATTTTTATACAACAATAGGTTTACTTATATAAAAGTTAATAGCGCTTTTAGGCACCATCAAAATCAATTTGACCTCGACCTTAAAACGGCGTCACACGATTCATATTCGTCCAGTTTATTTCACTTGGCTACTCAATATGTTATGCATGCTACATGAGTGGTGATAACTGTCGCAGTCACGCTATAACACCATCAACTTAAAGCGAATTGTATAAAACGTCGTTATTGTTTTTTACTTTTAATCTATTACGTCAAAGTTTACTTACTAGTATTCTTAGGGCTGATTATTCAATAGACAGATAAATGTTACCTGAGGAATAAAATTGTTGCTGTCACTGTCTTATACAAACATTCTGACGGGACAGATTCATAATTATTCACCAGGTAACTTTAATCTGACCTTTGACGAAACAGCCCTTAGTAAGTTAATTATATTCCTTACGAATTCATTGTGTTTTTCTCTTACTGAAAGAAGCTGTTTATTGCAAAAGTTCCATTCATCAAAGCAGCTGAAGAAACAGCTACTAAACTTTTCTGAATGGTTTTGAGCAGGGACCTTATGAAACTCCATAATCGTAACCGAAACCAACAGAAATCTGAAACTATAACCGATCCGTTTTATAAGTTTCGAATAGCTTCAAATAAGGGCAGAGTCAGAATTCATTTTTCGACAGGTTTTTGTTTAAATATTACAGTTTTTTTCGTACCAAAATTTTTTTCGAATTGTATTTTTTTTGCTAGTTATTATTGTTTATCGACAAACTATCCGAAATTGATGAATAATCAGAAAAAATTACATATGTGTACACGTATTTAAAACCGATATGAATTTCTTCCTATATCCAGACCCGTAGTGTATTCGGATTTTAAACATCTGTTGTTTTGAGTCTGTCATAGATTGGGTAATTTTTCTTTTAAGTCATGTAATTTGCGAATATGAAAATATTGCTGGAACTTGTTGGAATATAGATGTGGGTATATGCATGTAGATTTGTATGTATCTACATATGTAGAATATACGATATTGAATCCTAAAAATAAATTTATTCTTCGCATTCTCAGTACACAATATAATTCGGACATTAATTGACTCAACATGAGTACGCTTTTTGCATGAATCGCTAGATTTTTTATTTAAAACAAGTGACATGAGATGAATAAGAATGACTCTAAGGCATTGTTTACGCTCACAGCAAGTGTGGGAGAGCCATGCTTCGGCAAAAATGTGCCGTTTCGACCAGACTTATACCCACAGCCTTGCAGAAAACAGGCGTGAAACAACCACAGCGTTGTGTTTCGCCGTGTGAGTGGGGTTAATGAAGGCCCTATCCATCGCCTCCCCACACTCTCTCCTCAATCCTTAAATAGCTTAAACCCCATATCCTCATAATGCCGACATCACTACCATCACTTCCGACTTATATAAAAAAAACACGCGGAGTGGCGCCCATTGCTGCTTATCATGCGTGTTGCCATCATTGCTAGTCACATGTTTGCTGGCGATGATTCGGTCTGTTGCTGCAACAGAACAACAAACGTACGAAGCGCCATGCGACGCCCCGCGTGAGCGTAAACGAGGCCTTATAAACATTTTTTTTTTCTAATTTTAATAATGACGGTAAGGTCTAGTTGGTAGACCTTGACATTTACTTTTGAATGCTTCCTCTTAAAATGTAGTAAAGAAATACTTGTCTCATCTAGTTTGACATATTATATTGACATGATTTATAAAATATCATGATTCTTAAAATAATTATTTCCATTTGACCTGAAGTTTATTTCAATGTATATTTTAATTATTTCTGGTTTTATTATGTGATACATTATATTTAGTGTAAGCATAAAGTAAGTATGGAACATCTATATGTATACTAATATTATAAAGCTACAGAGTTTGTTTGTTTGAACGCGCTAATCTCTGGAACTACTGGTCCGATTTGAATGATTCTTTCAGTGTTGTGTAGTAGATAATAAAAAAAATGCGCCTATATTCTGTAGTGATCTATTAAAAATAAAGTTTTTAATAGTAGGAGAATATCGTCAATTTTTTAAATCTTACTAACGAACATCAGAAGACAAAGCTCTCAATTTAAATAATATAAAAAAAAAAACAAGTACGGCATTTAATATGTATTTCTATGACCTTCACTGCGAACTTTTTTGTTTTACTTATCGATGGTATAAACGATAGCGAATTTTTTTAAAGCATAGTTATTTTGCTAACGACCTTTAGTTAAAATGCCTTGGTGGCCCGGTGGTTAAGGCGCCCGCTCCTCATGCATGAGGGTGCGATTTGAAACCTGGCAAGTACCAATGTGACTTATTCAAGAAAACATCGTGAAGGAACCTGGACTTATAATTTCTAGTTAGTGTTGTGTTTCGCTGTGTGAGTGAGGTTACCGGAGGCCCAATCCTTCCCCTTCCCTAATCCCTCCCCAGTTCCTAAATCTCCAAATCCCTAATCTCTAAAAGGTCGGCAACGCACTCGTAACTCCTCCGTTGCGGGTGTCCATGGGCGGCGCTGATTGCTTACCATCAGGTAATCCGTCTGCTCGTTTGCCGACCTATTACATAAAAAAAAAAAGTATGAAATCGCCAATCCGCCTTGAGCAAGCGTGGTGATTAATGCTCAAACCTTCTCTGCGTGAGAAGAGGCCTTTGCTCAGCAGTGGGCACTTACAGGCTGATTATTTGATGGATGTGATGTGTGTGACCTTTTGTTTTTTAAATAGTTACACTTAATATATCGTCTGGTTTTCTTGTGGTTAGTATAGTATGCGTATAGGTAGATAAGTGTCTGTGGTTTTACATAGCTTGGGGATTTACTCAGGTAGAGTTACGTTCAAGGTCATTTAGATGGACTGTCATTATGGTTATGTTTTCCGCAACTTTTTGTTGAAGGAAATATTTCTGAGATATAGTACTTACCATTTAACGATGAGTACGTTTTTATTTTTAATTATTTATTTGCAAGTTCATGCCTAAAAAATTTTGTACATCAAACGGACTTAATGCATTGAAAATTCTCTATTAGTCTGTATTTGGGTAATGAATGATACCATCCGGTGGTAGATGGAAGAAGCAATCAAATTTTACGTGCCTATTGTGACTTTACCATAAACCTGGATAATCATAATATAAAATTCACAGAGCTATTGTTATGTATGCTTATTTATAAAACAGTAATAAACTATATAGGCTGTCTTAAAACTAGTTCTAGGACAATCTGTGTAAGTTTAGATTTATGTTAAATAAGTTTATATATAGATAAAAGAGACAGTCAGTCCTCTTAATGAAACTATTTGCTAGATCCAAAGTGTAGATTCTGATGGAGTAAGAATAAGCAAAAGCCTATTTGATGTGTACATATCTACCATTTTAAAGTGTCTTTTGTGTTTTTTTATGTGTAATTTTTATTATTTGTTACAAAAATATTCTTCATATTTATGACTAACGTGAAAAAATATAACTATTTACCTAAAACATTAATTTTAAACAAATAAAAGCTACAATACAAATTGCATTTAAGAATGGAATTAGAAGCCACCGAATCGAATAAGAAGCGAACCTACACACATTATAAGAAAAACTAGCAAAATTTTTTAGCTATCTGAACGGCCTCACTGAAAATAAGTGTGGGAGAGCCATGCTGCGGCACGAATGGGTCGGCTCGACCGGAGTGATACCACGGCCTCACAGAAAACCGGCATGAAACAACCACAGCGTTTTGTTTCGTAGAGTGAATGAGGTTACCTTAGGCCCAATACTTCCCCTCCCCCAAACCCTCCTCAATCCCTAAATCTCCAAATCCCTAATCCCTAAAAGGTCGGCAACGCACTCGTAAATCCTGTTTTGTTGTCCTTGGGCGGCGCTGATTGCTTACCATCAGATAATCCTTCAGCTCTTTTTTTTTCTTTGAAAAAACGTTTAGGATTTTCTCCTGTGTTGTGGGTGCGTTTACAAACATACAATGTCACATACACATGACACCCAGACCCGAAACAACAATTTGTGGATCACACAAAGTGTTGTTCCGGGAATGTTGCGGGAATCGAACCCGGGACACGTTGCACGGCTACCAGTTGCCCAGCCACCGCACCAACCGTGAAGTCAGCTCGTTTGCCGACATATCAAATAAAAAAAGTAATGTATAATGATCTGAATAATGTTTTGGTATATTATTAACACTTAGGACTTAATAATAAATATTCACTATAATAATGTAAACAGAATTGCCATAGTGATTATCATAGTCGATTTCATATTTAGCATCTAAATATGACTTAAGGACATTCTCTATCATGTTAGCTGAACTTATCAAATATCAATAGGTCACACGTGAGAATACATTTGATAATTTTAACGTACGGTCAACGACCTGTGGCGAGTTTTTGCTTCATACATGGCTTCATAAACTATATAAATAAATAATAATTACTATAAAAATATCTTTTTATTTATTTATTTAGAAAACCAACAGCGATACATGTGGTATAACACAAATAAAGATATTACAGTTTAGTAAGGCTAATAATAGGTTTCCCTGCTTAACTTAATTTGTGTTTACCATGCGAACGGACTTTAATCAATATTAATTTTTATTTAAAAA